CAAGCCACTTCTGGAACTCCAGCAGCACATCCGACTTCTTGGCGACCGGCCTCACCCACACGAAGCGGGTCTTGCGGTCCTTCAGCAGCAGGAAGTACAAGCTGCCGTCCTTGGCAGCCACCCGGAACGGCCCGCACAGGTCGATGTGCACGACGGCCAGCACATCGTCGGCGTCGGAGCCTTGGTCGGGGAAGGTGTGCCGCGCCAATTTCCCGCCGACGCACGAGACACACGGTGAGTCGGCGCCCGTCGCCGACTTGAGGTCCAGCCCAATGGCGACCTCGTTCTTCGCCGAGCTCCTGATGGTGTCCATGCCGACGTGCGCAAGCCTAGCATGCATCCTGTCCGGCGTCGACTTTGTCTTCGAGACGATCGCCCGCAGGGCCATAACCTCTGGCGTGGGCGACGTCGACCTCGTTGAGCAGGGACGCAGGTCGGTGCAGAGGACACGCCCGGAGTACGTCGCCCGACTGAGCACCGCTCCCACTGCCGAGACGAGCAACATCCCGTCGCCATCTTCCTGCAGCTTCACGCCGTGCTCCTTCAGCTGGCCAGACGATAGCAGGTTGGCCCGCACGCCCGGGACGTACAGCACGTCGGGGATGAGCACCTGCTTCCCGGCCTCTCCTTGCAAGGCGACGGTGCCACGGCCTTGGACGTCCTGCAGCGCCTCATTGAAGCCGCGCACATGCTTGATGGAGCCGCTCGGCTGTAGGTTGACGAAGACTTCCTTCGTCCCCATCAGGTGGTGGGAGCAGCCACTGTCGAGCAGGACCACCGCCGGGTTCGCCTGCACAGCTGCCGCCACCGCCTGGAAATCCTCGCCGGCCTCCGGCGCCAGCGAGACGGTCGACTCCACGACGCCGACCAGCGAGCACGACGCCGTCTTGTCGTCCCGCGCCTTGCCGCCAACAGAGGAGTCGGCGTCCTTCGCCGAGGTCGACGTGGTCGACTGCTTCTCCTTGCGCGGCTTGTTTCCTCCACGACGAGGACGACAACTGCCAGACCTCCCACGGCCTCCCTTGGCGTCGTCGTCGTCGGAGTCACTGCGGTCAGGGCACTCGAAGGAGAGGTGGTCGGGGTCGCCGCACAGCCAGCACTCCCGACGTCGACCTCCTCCTCCTCGACCACTGTCCTTGGTCGACTTCTTCTTGTCGACCTCCTTGGCCGGCTTCCAGCCACTGCTACCACCACCGCCAGACTGCCCGCGCTGCCCCGGTCGACCTCCTTGTTTCGCTGGGGCGACGAAGTTCGCCTGCACCAAGAGCTCCTGTGACCGCTCAGCCTCCTGCATTGCCTCGTCCTGCAGGATGTACGAGGTCAAGTTGTCCTCGTTGAGCGTCGTCCTCGTGCTCGGCGCCATCGACAGCCGCTTTAGGAGGTTGTAGTTGCTCGAGAGTCCCTGCATGACGTGGGTGACGTACGACGCCGTCGAGTATTGCGCGGCGGCCATCTTGATAGTGGCGAGAATTTGCCGGGCTCGGTTGCAGTAGTCGGTCGCCGTCTCCTCGTCGCCCATACGCGGGTGCGTCAGCTGTCCCTCCAGCTGGGCGATGAACAAGTCGTCGGTGACTTGGTAGGTCGACTCGATGAAGTGCCACGCCTGGTGGCCGGCGTCGATGTACTCTCGGCACCACTTCAAGGCGATCTGCACGCCTGGCGAGCAGCACTGCGAGATGACCGTGAAGGTCAACAGCTGCACGGCGCGAAACCCTGCACGCAAGTCGGGGTCGTCCGGCGTCGCCACGGTGCCTCGAGCAAAGCTGATCAGCCCGGCCATCTCCAGCTGGGGCTCGATGGCCTCCTTCTAGGTGAGGATGTCGGGTCGACCAGTGAGCGGTGGGGTGACCAGGATCCTGTCCGGCGTGAACTTGAAGTAGTCGTAGCTCGGAGCAATCCCGCCTGCCGTCACCTGAGTCGCCGACATCGGCGACAACCCGCTTCGTCGACCTCCGACGTCGCCATGCGAGGTGCCTGCAGCCGCCGGCGACCGCATCCCTCGCGCCTGAACGCCGCCGACTTCATCGGCGTGTATCACACCTCTCTGCCTCGACGTGCCTCCCGCACTGCTGCTGACTTGGCCACCTCCGACGTTGACGCCCTCGTCGACGCCGCCTTCGTTGGTCACCGGTCGAGGAGAAGCTGGTCGAGAAGGGGGATGCTCCGTCGCCCACATGGTGCGGAGTCCAACCTCGACGACCGCCCAGGGTATCACCCCGTACTCCTGGGCCTCATGGCGTCTCCTCGCATCCTCCAGCCGTCCCTCCAGGGTGTCCATCACCTCTGTGTCACCTACGCGCACGCTAGGGACTGTACGGCTGCCGGCCTACGAGCAACTTAGGTAAGGGACCACTACGTCGACCTGACTGAAAGGTAAGTCGTGTGCCGTCTACGCTCACCGCACCATGCGGAGATAACTACTACAACGGGAGCTATACTACGGGCTGGGCACGGATGCTCGTGTGATCTCTGCGTTCGTTGGTCCTTAGTCGTTTTCCTAGTGCACACACTGCTTGCTAGTTCACGGGGCAAGTTGACAAGAGTTTCACTAGAGAAAGTTGACAACAATGATACAAAGAAGTTGGCATGGCAAGACTACACCAGAGCTAGCATTCAGGTCGGTCGACTGCCAGCACAGCATGGTCGACCGCGTTCCAGCACAACTTGGTCGACCGCGCTCCAGCAGTGCAAAGTTGACGGCGTGCCAACGCTGCAGGTCGACGGCGTGCCAGCGCAGCTCCCGCAATACAGCATCGCACCAGCTTCGCAGGTGCTCGCAGATGATTGGTGTGCTGAGCCTTGTCACCTTCACAGCGCACACACCAAGTCAACCTGGCGCTGACGACACCATCTGATCAGCCACGTCAGCCTCGGGATACCACCACCGAGGTCGGACTCGCCAACTTCGCCTGGGCGACCGTCGCACTCATCCGCAGAACCTCGTCACCCAGGTAACCTGGTCGACAGGGCAACCACGTCGACCAGCTGCTCCTGTATGTGCCCGTCGACCTCCCAAGTCGACGACCACACCAGGTCGACCTCACCAGGTCGACCACGCCCCTGGTCGACCAGCTCCAGGTCGACGTCACTCCTGGTCGACCAGCTCCACGTCGACCAGCACTCCTGGTCGACCAGCTCCATGTCGACCAGCGTAGTTGTCAGCCGACCACCCAATTCGGCTACTCGAAGTCGGCGTCACCAAGTCGACGCCCTCCGCAGGTCGACTTCCCAGGTCGACCTCCCTGAAGTCGGCGCCAACTTCCGAGCCGACCTCTTGAAGTCGGCGACCTTGCAAGTCGGCGACCTTGCAAGTCGGTGACCTTGCAAGTCGGCGCCGACTTCCAGGTCGACGTGGCACATCGCCGACCACCAGTTGAAGTCAGCCGCCGGCTTCCCAAGTCGGCGGCATTGCAGTGGCCCCGTACAAGTCGACCAACCCCGTTGACCACTGCCGCAAGTCGACTGTACCTCCCGTACACCCAACCACGAAGTCGGCTCCGCCCAAGCGAGGACGGGGCCAACAACAACTCCCGTTGACACTCGCAACCCTCCCACGCCCTTGCTCGCTTGGTAATTGGACCAGAAAATCACAGCCACGTGACCCGGCGGAAGAATACCGCTCAGAACGAGCGCTTCCACCCCCAAAACGCGGAAGAATCCACACATGTGAAGGAAGTGTAGCGGGCGCTCTTCATTTGCGAGTTCCGATGACCGATGATGCTCGTTGACTTGGTAATAGGCCCAGAAAAGCACAGCCACGTGACCCGGCGGAAGAAAACGGCTCGGAACGAGTGCTTCTTCCCCCAAAACATACGGAAGGATCCGCACATGTGCAGAAAATGCAGCCGGCGCTCTTCATTCTCAAGCGCCGATGACCGATGATGCTCGCAACTCTCCCACGCCCTTGCTTGCTTGGTAATAAGCCTAGAAAAGTGCAGCAACGTGACTCGGCGGAAGAAAAACGCTCGAAACGAGCTCTTCCACCCCCAAAACGCGGAAGGATCCGCACATGTGCAGGAAGTGCAGCGGGCGCTCTTCATTCGCGAGCGCCGATGACCGATGATGCTCGCAACCCTCACACGCCCTTGTTGGCTTGGTGATAGGCCTAGACAAGCGCAGCCACGTGAACCGGCGGAAGAAAAACGCTCGGAACGAGCGCTTCCACCCCCAAAACGCGGAAGAATCCGCACATGTGCAGGAAGTGCAGCGGGCGCTCTTCATTCACGAGCGCCGATGACCGATGATGCTTGCAACCCTCCCACGCCCTTGCTGGCTTGGTAATAAGACCAGACAAGCACAGCCACGTGACCCGGCGGAAGAAAAACACTCAGAACGAGTGCTTCCACCCCCAAAACGCGGAAGGATCCGCATATGTGCAGGAAGTGCAGCAAGCGCTCTTCATTCGCGAGCGCCGATGATTGATGATGCTCGCAACACTCCCACGCCTTGCTGGCTTGGTAATAGGCCCAGACAAGCTCAGCCACATGACCCGACAGAAGAAAAACGCTCGAAACGAGCGCTTCCACCCCCAAAACGCGGAAGGATCCGCACATGTGCAGGAAGTGCAGCGGGCGCTCTTCATTCGCGAGCGCCGATGGCCGATGATGCTTGCAACCCTCCCACGCCCTTTCTCGCTTTGTAATAGGCCCAGAAAAGTGCATCCACGTGACCCGGCGGAAGAAAAGCGCTCGGAACGAGCGCTTCCACCCCAAAACGCGGAAGGATCCGCACATGTGCAGGAAGTGCAACGGGAGCTCTTCATTCGCGAGCGCCGATGATCAATGATGCTCGCAACCCTCCCACGCCCTTGCTCGCTTGGTAATAGGCCCAGACAAGTGCAGCCACGTGACCCGGCAGAAGAAAAATGCTTGGAACGAGTGCTTCCTTCCCCAAAACGCGGAAGGATCCGCACATGTGCAGTAAGTGCAGCGGGCGCTCTTCATTCTCAAGCGCCGATGTCCGATGATGCTCGAAACTCTCCCGCAGCCTTGGTAATAAGCCTAGACAAGTGCAGCCATGTGAACCGGCGGAAGAAAGCTTCCACCCCGTGATGGAAAGCGGGAGAATGGGGCAGGTGTGATGGAAAGCGGGAGAATGGGGCGGGGTGATGGAAAGCGGGAGAATGGGGCGGGGTGATGGAAAGCGGGAGAATGGGGCGGGGTGATGGAAAGCGGGAGAATAGGGCGGGGTAATGGAAAGCGGGAGAATGGGGCGGAGTGATGGAAAGCGGGAGAATGGGGCGGGGTGATGGAAAGCGGGAGAATAGGGTGGGGTAATGGAAAGCGGGAGAATGGGGCGGGGTGATGGAAGGAGGGAGAATGGGGCGGGGTGATGGAAGGAGGGAGAATGGGGCGGGGTGATGGAAGGAAGGAGAATGGGGCGGGGTGATGGAAAGCGGGAGAATGAGGCGGGCTGATGGAAGGAGGGAGAATGGGGCGGGGTGATGGAAAGCGGGAGAATGGGGCGGGGAGATGGAAAGCGGGAGAATGGGGCGGGGTGATGGAAAGCGGGAGAACGGGGCGGGGTGATGGAAAGCGCGAGATGGGGCGGGGTGATGGAAAGCGGGAGAGTGGGGCGGGGTGATGGAAAGCGGGAGAATGGGGCGGGGTGATGGAAAGCGGGAGAATGGGGCGGGGTGATGGAAGGAGGGAGAATGGGGCGGGGTGATGGAAAGCTGGAGAATGGGGCGGGGTGATGGAAAGCGGAAGAATGGGGCGGGGTGATGGAAAGCGGGAGAATGGGGCGGGGTGATGGAAGGATGGAGAATGGGGCGGGGTGATGGAAGGAGGGAGAATGGGGCGGGGTGATGGAAGGAGGGAGAATGGGGCGGGGTGATGGAAGGAGGGAGAATGGGGCGGAGTGATGGAAAGCGGGAGAATGGGGCGGGGTGATGGAAAGCGGGAGAATGGGGCGGGGGAGAATGGGGCGGGGTGATGGAAAGCGGGAGAATGGGGCGGGGTGATGGAAAGCGGGAGAATGGGGCGGGGTGATGGAAAGCGGGAGAATCGGGCGGGTGATGGAAAGTGGGAGAGTGGGGCGGGGTAATGGAAAGAGGGAGAATGGGGCGGGGTGATGGAAAGAGGGAGAATGGGGCGGGGTGATGGAAAGAGGGAGAATAGGGCGGGGTGATGGAAAGCGGGAGAATGGGGCGGGGTGATGGAAGGATGGAGAATGGGGCGGGGTGATGGAAGGAGGGAGAATGGGGCGGGGTGATGGAAGGAGGGAGAATGGGGCGGGGTGATGGAAGGAGGGAGAATGGGGCGGAGTGATGGAAAGCGGGAGAATGGGGCGGGGTGATGGAAAGCGGGAGAATGGGGCGGGGGAGAATGGGGCGGGGTGATGGAAAGCGGGAGAATGGGGCGGGGTGATGGAAAGCGGGAGAATGGGGCGGGGTGATGGAAAGCGGGAGAATCGGGCGGGTGATGGAAAGCGGGAGAGTGGGGCGGGGTAATGGAAAGAGGGAGAATGGGGCGGGGTGATGGAAAGAGGGAGAATGGGGCGGGGTGATGGAAAGAGGGAGAATAGGGCGGGGTGATGGAAAGCGGGAGAATGGGGCGGGGTGATGGAAAGAGGGAGAATGGGGCGGGGTGATGGAAAGAGGGAGAATGGGGCGGGGTGATGGAAAGAGGGAGAATGGGGCAGGGTGATGGAAAGCGGGAGAATGGGGCGGGTGATGGAAAGCGGGAGAATGGGGCGGGGTGATGGAAAGAGTTAGAATGGGGCGGGGTTATGGAAAGCGGGAGAATGGGGCAGGGTGATGGAAAGCGGGAGAATGGGGCGGGGTGATGGAAAGCGGGAGAATGGGGCGGGGTGATGGAAAGCGGGAGAATGGGGCGGAGTGCTGGAAAGCAGGAGAATCGGGTGGGGTGATGGAAAGCGGGAGAATGGGGCGGGGTGCTGGAAAGCGGGAGAATGGGGCGGGGTGATGGAAAGAGGGAGAATGGGACAAGGTGATGGAAAGCGGGAGAATGGGGCGGGGTGATGGAAAGAGGGAGAATGGGGCGGGGTGATGGAAAGGGGGAGAATCGGGCGGGGTGATGGAAAGGTCGAGAATGGGGCGGGGTGATGGAAAGCGCGAGAATCAGGCGGGGTGATGGAAAGCGGGAGAATCGGGCGGGGTGCTGGAAAGCGGGAGAATGGGGAGGGGTGATGGAAAGCGGGAGAATGGGGCGGGGTGATGGAAAGCGGGAGAATGGGGCGGGGTGATGGAAGGAGGGAGAATGGGGCGGGGTGATCGAAAGCTGGAGAATGGGGCGGGGTGATGGAAAGCGGGAGAATGGGGCGGGGTGATGGAAAGCGGGAGAATGGGGCGGGGTGATGGAAGGAGGGAGAATGGGGCGGGGTGATGGAAGGAGGGAGAATGGGGCGGGGTGATGGAAGGAGGGAGACTGGGGCGGAGTGATGGAAAGCGGGAGAATGGGGCGGGGTGATGGAAAGCGGGAGAATGGGGCGGGGGAGAATGGGGCGGGGTGATGGAAAGCGGGAGAATGGGGCGGGGTGATGGAAAGCGGGAGAATGGGGCGGGGTGATGGAAAGCAGGAGAATCGGGCGGGTGATGGAAAGCGGGAGAGTGGGGCGGGGTAATGGAAAGAGGGAGAATGGGGCGGGGTGAAGGAAAGAGGGAGAATGGGGCGGGGTGATGGAAAGAGGGAGAATAGGGCGGGGTGATGGAAAGCGGGAGAATGGGGCGGGGTGATGGAAGGATGGAGAATGGGGCGGGGTGATGGAAGGAGGGAGAATGGGGCGGGGTGATGGAAGGAGGGAGAATGGGGCGGGGTGATGGAAGGAGGGAGAATGGGGCGGAGTGATGGAAAGCGGGAGAATGGGGCGGGGTGATGGAAAGCGGGAGAATGGGGCGGGGGAGAATGGGGCGGGGAGATGGAAAGCGGGAGAATGGGGCGGGGTGATGGAAAGCGGGAGAATGGGGCGGGGTGATGGAAAGCGGGAGAATGGGTCGGGGTGATGGAAAGCGGGAGAATCGGGAGGGGTGATGGAAAGCGGGAGAATGGGGTGGGGTGCTGGAAAGCGGGAGAATGGGGCGGGGTGATGGAAAGCGGGAGAATGGGGCGGGGGAGAATGGGGCGGGGTGATGGAAAGCGGGAGAATGGGGCGGGGTGATGGAAAGCGGGAGAATGGGGCGGGGTGATGGAAAGCGGGAGAATCGGGCGGGTGATGGAAAGCGGGAGAGTGGGGCGGGGTAATGGAAAGAGGGAGAATGGGGCGGGGTGATGGAAAGAGGGAGAATGGGGCGGGGTGATGGAAAGAGGGAGAATAGGGCGGGGTGATGGAAAGCGGGAGAATGGGGCGGGGTGATGGAAAGAGGGAGAATGGGGCGGGGTGATGGAAAGAGGGAGGATGGGGCGGGGTGATAAAAAAAGGGAGAATGGGGCGGGGTGATGGAAAGCGGGAGAATGGGGCGGGTGATGGAAAGCGGGAGAATGGGGCGGGGTGATGGAAAGAGGGAGAATGGGGCGGGGTTATGGAAAGCGGGAGAATGGGGCGGGGTGATGGAAAGCGGGAGAATGGGGCGGGGTGATGGAAAGCGGGAGAATGGGGCGGGGTGATGGAAAGCGGGAGAATGGGGCGGGGTGCTGGAAAGCGGGAGAATCGGGTGGGGTGATGGAAAGCGGGAGAATGGGGCGGGGTGCTGGAAAGCGGGAGAATGGGGCGGGTTGATGGAAAGAGGGAGAATGGGACAAGGTGATAAAAAGCGGGAGAATGGGGCGGGGTGATGGAAAGAGGGACAATGGGGCGGGGTGATGGAAAGGGGGAGAATCGGGAGGGGTGATGGAAAGGTCGAGAATGGGGCGGGGTGATGGAAAGCGCGAGAATCGGGCGGGGTGATGGAAAGCGGGAGAATCGGGCGGGGTGCTGGAAAGCGGGAGAATGGGGAGGGGTGATGGAAAGCGGGAGAATGGTGCGGGGAGATGGAAAGCGGGAGAATGGGGCGGGGTGATGGAAAGCGGGAGAATGGGGCGGGGTGATAGAAAGCGGGAGAATGGGTCGGGGTGATGGAAAGCGGGAGAATCGGGCGGGGTGATGGAAAGCGAGAGAATGGGGTGGGGTGCTGGAAAGCGGGAGAATGGGGCGGGGTGATGGAAAGCGGGAGAATGGGGCGGGGGAGAATGGGGCGGGGTGATGGAAAGCGGGAGAATGGGGCGGGGTGATGGAAAGCGGGAGAATGGGACGGGGTGATGAAAAGCGGGAGAATCGGGCGGGTGATGGAAAGCGGGAGAATCGGGAGGGGTGATGGAAAGCGGGAGAATGGGGTGGGGTGCTGGAAAGCGGGAGAATGGGGCGGGGTGATGGAAAGCGGGAGAATGGGGCGGGGGAGAATGCGGCGGGGTGATGGAAAGCGGGAGAATGGGGCGGGGTGATGGAAAGCGGGAGAATCGGGCGGGTGATGGAAAGCGGGAGAGTGGGGCGGGGTAATGGAAAGAGGGAGAATGGGGCGGGGTGATGGAAAGAGGGAGAATGGAGCGGGGTGATGGAAAGAGGGAGAATAGGGCGGGGTGATGGAAAGCGGGCGAATGGGGCGGGGTGATGGAAAGAGGGAGAATGGGGCGGGGTGATGGAAAGAGGGAGAATGGGGCGGGGTGATGGAAAAAGGGAGAATGGGGCGGGGTGATAGAAAGCGGGAGAATGGGTCGGGGTGATGGAAAGCGGGAGAATCGGGCGGGGTGATGGAAAGCGGGAGAATGGGGTGGGGTGCTGGAAAGCGGGAGAATGGGGCGGGGTGATGGAAAGCGGGAGAATGGGGCGGGGGAGAATGGGGCGGGGTGATGGAAAGCGGGAGAATGGGGCAGGGTGATGGAAAGCGGGAGAATGGGACGGGGTGATGAAAAGCGGGAGAATCGGGCGGGTGATGGAAAGCGGGAGAATCGGGGGGGGTGATGGAAAGCGGGAGAATGGGGCGGGGTGATAGAAAGCGGGAGAATGGGTCGGGGTGATGGAAAGCGGGAGAATCGGGCGGGGTGATGGAAAGCGGGAGAATGGGGTGGGGTGCTGGAAAGCGGGAGAATGGGGCGGGGTGATAGAAAGCGGGAGAATGGGTCGGGGTGATGGAAAGCGGGAGAATCGGGCGGGGTGATGGAAAGCGGGAGAATGGGGTGGGGTGCTGGAAAGCGGGAGAATGGGGCGGGGTGATGGAAAGCGGGAGAATGGGGCGGGGGAGAATGGGGCGGGGTGATGGAAAGCGGGAGAATGGGGCAGGGTGATGGAAAGCGGGAGAATGGGACGGGGTGATGAAAAGCGGGAGAATCGGGCGGGTGATGGAAAGCGGGAGAATCGGGAGGGGTGATGGAAAGCGGGAGAATGGGGTGGGGTGCTGGAAAGCGGGAGAATGGGGCGGGGTGATGGAAAGCGGGAGAATGGGGCGGGGGAGAATGGGGCGGGGTGATGGAAAGCGGGAGAATGGGGCGGGGTGATGGAAAGCGGGAGAATGGGGCGGGGTGATGGAAAGCGGGAGAATCGGGCGGGTGATGGAAAGCGGGAGAGTGGGGCGGGGTAATGGAAAGAGGGAGAATGGGGCGGGGTGATGGAAAGAGGGAGAATGGGGCGGGGTGATGGAAAGAGGGAGAATAGGGCGGGGTGATGGAAAGCGGGAGAATGGGGCGGGGTGATGGAAAGAGGGAGAATGGGGCGGGGTGATGGAAAGAGGGAGAATGGGGCGGGGTGATGGAAAGAGGGAGAATGGGGCGGGGTGATGGAAAGCGGGAGAATGGGGCGGGTGATGGAAAGCGGGAGAATGGGGCGGGGTGATGGAAAGAGGGAGAATGGGGCGGGGTTATGGAAAGCGGGAGAATGGGGCAGGGTGATGGAAAGCGGGAGAATGGGGCGGGGTGATGGAAAGCGGGAGAATGGGGCGGGGTGATGGAAAGCGGGAGAATGGGGCGGGGTGCTGGAAAGCGGGAGAATCGGGTGGGGTGATGGAAAGCGGGAGAATGGGGCAGGGTGCTGGAAAGCGGGAGAATGGGGCGGGGTGATGGAAAGAGGGAGAATGGGACAAGGTGATGGAAAGCGGGAGAATGGGGCGGGGTGATGGAAAGAGGGAGAATGGGGTGGGGTGATGGAAAGCGGGAGAATGGGGTGGGGTGCTGGAAAGCGGGAGAATGGGGCGGGGTGATGGAAAGCGGGAGAATGGGGCGGGGGAGAATGGGGCGGGTGATGGAAAGCGGGAGAATGGGGCGGGGTGATGGAAAGAGGGAGAATGGGGCGGGGTTATGGAAAGCGGGAGAATGGGGCAGGGTGATGGAAAGCGGGAGAATGGGGCGGGGTGATGGAAAGCCTGAGAATGGGGCGGGGCGATGGAAAGCGGGAGAATGGGGCGGGGTGCTGGAAAGCGGGAGAATCGGGTGGGGTGATGGAAAGCGGGAGAATGGGGCGGGGTGCTGGAAAGCGGGAGAATGGGGCGGGGTGATGGAAAGAGGGAGAATGGGACAAGGTGATGGAAAGCGGGAGAATGGGGCGGGGTGATGGAAAGAGGGACAATGGGGCGGGGTGATGGAAAGGGGGAGAATCGGGCGGGGTTATGGAAAGCGGGAGAATGGGGCAGGGTGATGGAAAGCGGGAGAATGGGGCGGGGTGATGGAAAGCCTGAGAATGGGGCGGGGCGATGGAAAGCGGGAGAATGGGGCGGGGTGCTGGAAAGCGGGAGAATCGGGTGGGGTGATGGAAAGCGGGAGAATGGGGCGGGGTGCTGGAAAGCGGGAGAATGGGGCGGGGTGATGGAAAGAGGGAGAATGGGACAAGGTGATGGAAAGCGGGAGAATGGTGCGGGGAGATGGAAAGCGGGAGAATGGGGCGGGGTGATGGAAAGAGGGAGAATGGGGCGGGTGATGGAAAGCGGGAGAATGGGGCGGGGTGATGGAGTGCGGGAGAATGGGGCGGGGTGATGGAAAGCGGGAGAATGGGGCGGGGTGATGGAAAGCGGGAGAATGGGGTGGGGTGATGGAAAGCGGGAGAATGGGGCCGGGTTATGGAAAGAGGGAGAATGGGGCGGGGTGATGGAAAGAGGGAGAATGGGGCGGGGTGATGGAAAGAGGGAGAATGGGGCGGGGTGGTGGAAAGCGGGAGAATGGGGCAAGGTGATGGAAAGCGGGAGAATGGGGCGGGGTGATGGAAAGGGCGGGGTGATGGAAAGCGGGAGAATGGGGCGGGGTGATGGAAAGCGGGAGAATGGGGCGGGGTGATGGAAAGCGGGAGAATGGGGCGGGGTGATGGAAAGAGGGAGAATGGGGCGGGGTGATGGAAAGAGGGAGAATGGGGCGAGGTGATGGAAAGCGGGAGAATGGGGCGGGGTGATGGAAAGAGGGATAATGGGGCGAGGTGATGGAAAGCGGGAGAATGGGGCGGGGTGATGGAAAGAGGGAGAATGGGGCGGGGTGATGGAAAGAGGGAGAATGGGGCGAGGTGATGGAAAGCGGGAGAATGGGGCGGGGTGATGGAAAGAGGGATAATGGGGCGGGGTGATGGAAAGCGGGAAAATGGGGCGGGGTGATGGAAAGAGGGAGAATGGGGCGGGGTGATGGAAAGAGGGAGAATAGGGCGGGGTGCTGGAAAGCGGGAGAATGGGGCGGGGTGATGGAAAGCGGGAGAATGGGGCGGGGTGATGGAAAGCGGGAGAATGGGGCGGGGTGATGGAAAGCGGGAGAATGGGGCGGGGTTATGGATAAAGGGAGAATGGGGCGGGGTGATGGAAAGAGGGAGAATGGGGCGGGGTGATGGAAAGAGGGAGAATGGGGCGGGGTGATGGAAAGCGGAAGAATGGGGCGGGGTGATGGAAAGAGGGAGAATGGGGAGGGGTGATGGAAAGCGGGAGAATAGGGCGGGGTGATGGAAAGCAGGAGAATGGGGCGGGTGATGGAAAGCGGGAGAATGGGGCGGGGTGCTGGAAAGCGAGAGAATGGGGTGGGTTGATGGAAAGCGGGAGAATGGGGCGGGTGATGGAAAGCGGGAGAATGGGGCGGGGTGATGGAAAGAGGGAGAATGGGGCGGGGTGATGGAAAGCGGGAGAATGAGGCGGGGTGATGGAAAGCGGGAGAATGGGGCGGGGTGATGGATAGAGGGAGATGGGGCGGGGTGATGGAAAGAGGGAGAATGGGGCGGGGTGATGGAAAGAGGGAGAATGGGTCAGGGTGATGGAAAGCGGGAGAATGGGGCGGGTGATGGAAAGCGGGACAATGGGGCGGGGTGATGGAAAGCGGGAGAATGGGGCCGGGTGATGGGATCCGGGAGAATGGGGCAGGGTGCTGGAAAGCGGGAGAATGGGGCGGGGTGATGGAAAGCGGGAGAATCGGGCGGGGTGATGGAAAGCGGGAGAATGGGGCGGGGTGATGGAAAGCGGGAGAATGGGGCAGGGTGATGGAAATCGGAAGAATGGGGCTGGGTGCTGGAAAGCAGGAGAATGGGGCGGGGTGATGGAAAGCGGGAGAATGGGGCGGGGTGATGGAAAGCGGGAGAATGGGGCGGGGTTATGGAAAGAGGGAGAATGGGGCGGGGTGATGGAAAGAGGGAGAATGGGGCGGGGTGATGGAAAGAGGGAGAATGGGGCGGGGTGATGGAAAGCGGGAGAATGGGGCAGGGTGATGGAAAGCGGGAGAATGGGGCGGGGTGATGGAAAGGGCGGGGTGATGGAAAGCGGGAGAATGGGGCGGGGTGATGGAAAGTGGGAGAATGGGGCGGGGTGATGGAAAGCGGGAGAATGGGGCGAGGTGATGGAAAGCGGGAGAATGGGGCGGGGTGATGGAAAGCGGGAGAATGGGGCGGGGTGATGGAAAGAGGGAGAATGGGGCGGGGTGATGGAAAGCGGGAGAATGGGGCGGGGTGATGGAAAGCGGGAGAATGGGCGGGGTGATGGAAAGAGGGAGAATGGGGCGGGGTGATGGAAAGAGGGAGAATGGGGCGGGGTGCTGGAAAGCGAGAGAATGAGGCGGGGTGATGGAAAGCGGGAGAATGGGGCGGGGTGATGGATAGAGGGAGATGGGGCGGGGTGATGGAAAGAGGGAGAATGGGGCGGGGTGATGGAAAGAGGAAGAATGGGTCAGGGTGATGGAAAGCGGGAGAATGGGGCGGGTGATGGAAAGCGGGACAATGGGGCGGGGTGATGGAAAGCGGGAGAATGGGGCCGGGTGATGGGATCCGGGAGAATGGGGCAGGGTGCTGGAAAGCAGGAGAATGGGGCGGGGTGATGGAAAGCGGGAGAATGGGGCGGGGTGATGGAAAGCGGGAGAATGGGGCGGGTGATGGAAAGCGGGAGAATGGGGCGGGGTGCTGGAAAGCGAGAGAATGGGGCAGGGTGATGGAAATCGGAAGAATGGGGCGGGGTGCTGGAAAGCGGGAGAATGGGGCGGGGTGATGGAAAGCGGGAGAATGGGGCGGGGTGATGGAAAGCGGGAGAATGGGGCGGGGTTATGGAAAGAGGGAGAATGGGGCGGGGTGATGGAAAGAGGGAGAATGGGGCGGGGTGATGGACAGAGGGAGAATTGGGCGGGGTGATGGAAAGCGGGAGAATGGGGCAGGGTGATGGAAAGCGGGAGAATGGGGCGGGGTGATGGAAAGGGCGGGGTGATGGAAAGCAGGAGAATGGGGCGGGGTGATGGAAAGTGGGAGAATGGGGCGGGGTGATGGAAAGCGGGAGAATGGGGCGAGGTGATGGAAAGCGGGAGAATGGGGCGGGGTGATGGAAAGCGGGAGAATGGGGCGGGGTGATGGAAAGAGGGAGAATGGGGCGGGGTGATGGAAAGCGGGAGAATGGGGCAGGGTGATGGAAAGCGGGAGAATGGGCGGGGTGATGGAAAGAGGGAGAATGGGGCGGGGTGATGGAAAGAGGGAGAATGGGGCGGGGTGCTGGAAAGCGGGAGGATGAGGCGGGGTGATGGAAAGCGGGAGAATGGGGCGGGGTGATGGATAGAGGGAGATGGGGCGGGGTGATGGAAAGAGGGAGAATGGGGCGGGGTGATGGAAAGAGGGAGAATGGGTCAGGGTGATGGAAAGCGGGAGAATGGGGCGGGTGATGGAAAGCGGGACAATGGGGCGGGGTGATGGAAAGCGGGAGAATGGGGCCGGGTGATGGGATCCGGGAGAATGGGGCAGGGTGCTGGAAAGCGGGAGAATGGGGCGGGGTGATGGAAAGCGGGAGAATGGGGCGGGGTGATGGAAAGCGGGAGAATGGGGGGGGTGATGGAAAGCGGGAGAATGGGGCGGGGTGCTGGAAAGCGAGAGAATGGGGCAGGGTGATGGAAATCGGAAGAATGGGGCGGGGTGCTGGAAAGCGGGAGAATGGGGCGGGGTGATGGAAAGCGGGAGAATGGGGCGGGGTGATGGAAAGCGGGAGAATGGGGCGGGGTTATGGAAAGAGGGAGAATGGGGCGGGGTGATGGAAAGAGGGAGAATGGGGCGGGGTGATGGAAAGCGGGAGAATGGGGCAGGGTGATGGAAAGCGGGAGAATGGGGCGGGGTGATGGAAAGGGCGGGGTGATGGAAAGCGGGAGAATGGGGCGGGGTGATGGAAAGTGGGAGAATGGGGCGGGGTGATGGAAAGCGGGAGAATGGGGCGAGGTGATGGAAAGCGGGAGAATGGGGCGGGGTGATGGAAAGCGGGAGAATGGGGCGGGGTGATGGAAAGAGGGAGAATGGGGCGGGGTGATGGAAAGCGGGAGAATGGGGCGGGGTGATGGAAAGAGGGATAATGGGGCGGGGTGATGGAAAGCGGGAGAATGGGCGGGGTGATGGAAAGAGGGAGAATGGGGCGGGGTCATGGAAAGAGGGAGAATGGGGCGGGGTGCTGGAAAGCGGGAGAATGGGGCGGGGTGATGGAAAGCGGGAGAATGGGGCGGGGTGATGGAAAGCGGGAGAATGGGGCGGGGTGATGGAAAGCGGGAGAATGGGGTGGGGTTATGGAAAAAGGGAGAATGGGGCGGGGTGATGGAAAGAGGGAGAATGGGGCGGGGTGATGGAAAGAGGGAGAATGGGGCGGGGTGATGGAAAGCGGGAGAATGGGGCAGGGTGATGGAAAGAGGGAGAATGGGGAGGGGTGATGGAAAGCGGGAGAATGGGGCGGGGTGATGGAAAGAGGGAGAATGGGGCGGGTGATGGAAAGCGGGAGAATGGGGCGGGGTGCTGGAAAGCGAGAGAATGGGGTGGGTTGATGTAAAGCGGGAGAATGGGGCGGGTGATGGAAAGCGGGAGAATGGGGCGGGGTGATGGAAAGAGGGAGAATGGGGTGGGGTGATGGAAAGCGAGAGAATGAGGCGGGGTGATGGAAAGCGGGAGAATGGGGCGGGGTGATGGATAGAGGGAGTTGGGGCGGGGTGATGGAAAGAGGGAGAATGGGGCGGGGTGATGGAAAGAGGGAGAATGGGTCAGGGTGATGGAAAGCGGGAGAATGGGGCGGGTGATGGAAAGCAGGACAATGGGGCGGGGTGATGGAAAGCGGGAGAATGGGGCCGGGTGATGGGATCCGGGAGAATGGGGCAGGGTGCTGGAAAGCGGGAGAATGGGGCGGGGTGATGTAAAGCGGGAGAATCGGGCGGGGTGATGGAAAGTGGGAGAATGGGGCGGGGTGATGGAAAGAGGGAGAATGGGGCGGGGTGATGGAATGCGGGAGAATGGGGCGGGGTGATGGAAAGCGGGAGAATGGGGCAGGGTGATGGAAAGCGGGAGAATGGGGCGGGGTGATCGAAAGAGGGAGAATGGGGCGGTTGATGGAAAGCGGGAGAATGGGGCGGGGTGATGGAAAGAGAGAGAATGGGGCGGGGTGATGGAAAGCGGGAGAATGGGGCGGGGTGCTGGAAAGCGGGAGAATGGGGCGGGGTGATGGAAAGCGGGAGAATGGGGCAGGGTGCTGGAAAGCGGGAGAATGGGGCGGGGCGATGGAAAGCGGGAGAATGGGGCGGGGTGCTGGAAAGCGGGAGAATGGGACGTGGTGATGGAAAGCGGGAGATTGGGGCGGGATGATGGAAAGCGGGGGGGCGGGGTGATGGAAAGAGGGAGAATGGGGCGGGGTGATGGACAGCGGGAGAATGGGGCAGGGTGATGGAAAGCGGGAGAATGGGGCGGGGTGATGGAAAGCGGGAGAATGGGGCGGGGTGATGGAAAGCGGGAGAATGGAGCTGGGTGATGGAAAGCGGGAGAATGGGGCGGGGTGCTGGAACGCGGGAGAATGGGGCGGGGTGATGGAAAGCGGGAGAATGGGGCAGGGTGATGGAAAGCGGGAGAATGGGGCGGGGTGATGGAAAGAGGGAGAATGGGGCGCGTGATGGAAAGCGGGAGAATGGGGCGCGGTGATGGAAAGCGGGAGAATGGGGCGGGGTGATGGAAAGCGGGAAAATCGGGCGGGGTGATGGAAAGCGGGAGAATGGGGCAGGGTGATGGAAAGCGGGAGAATGGGGCGGGGTGATGGAAATCGGGAGAATGGGGCGGGGTGGTGGAAAGAGGGAGAATGGGGCGGGGTTATGGAAAGAGGGAGAATGGGGCGGGGTGATGGAAAGCGGGAGAATGGGGCGGGGTGATGGAAAGAGGGAGAATGGGGCGGGGTGATGGGAAGAGGGAGAATGGGACGGGGTTATGGAAAGAGGGAGAATGGGGCGGGGTGATGGAAAGCGGGAGAATGGGGCGGGGTGATGGAAAGCGGGAGAAGGGGGCGGGGTGATGGAAAGCGGGAGAATAGGGCGGGGTGATGGAAAGCGGGAGAATGGGGCGGGGTGATGGAAAGCGGGAGAATGGGGCGGGGTTATGGAAAGAGGGAGAATGGGGCGGGGTTATGGACAGAGGGAGAATGGGGCGGGGTGATGGAAAGCGAGAGAATGGGGCGGGGTGATGGAAAGCGGAAGAATTTGTTATAGTCACAATAGGCTCCAATGTGCCTAAAATGAAAGATAGAGTGCACAGTCGGATTTCTGCACAGCGGCTTCAAACGTTCATAGCGTTCTGGTCACAGCTTCAAATGACCTGATTCAACTTGGATCTGGAGCTGCTTAATGTCACCTACAACAGGCAATTTAGATCGCACGATTTCACCAAGTATAGACGACACAGTGTCGGTTTGAACGAACGGCACTATGGCAGCCACTATAGTCTTAGAACACACAATAGGAAGAGTTAGGAAGAGTTACGAGTTGGGAATGACTCCCAGCTCCTACAAACCCCAAGAGCCGAGGTACAGTGATGTGGAACAGTGCCACACTGTCCCCAACCAAGAAGGGTCTCGAAACTACCCTTCACAAGGGCCTACACCAACTGAAATGTTACACTACACAAAGTAATGTAACTATCTTCAATATCTTGAGGTGTACCCTTTTGGCGAGCTTCGCGATCACTTGAATGTTGACACCAGGGGCTCGGGTTCTTCATCACAAACTCATCCTTGAGTTCTTGATGGGTCTGCTGCACACACTTGCGACACGCCGAACGTTCGACAAGCGACAAAATAGAAACCGCGCACGACAAAATAGAAACCACGCGGGACACACAAAACGACCACGTTACACGCGACTAGCGATAATTCGCTATTGACTTGACACACACACTCGACATCATGACCCATCATTCACACAATATTATAAGCATGAAATATATATTTATTTCATGCACTCATTCCATTCCATGCACACACCTATGCACGCACACGGACAACAAGCCGAGTGCAAACCGTAGGGTTGCACCAACAAACTCCCCCTCGGATTGTTGGCCTTAGGATCTTGCTCTCTTAGTTCAGAGCCATCCCAGCCAGCTTGCAACACTTCCAATGCTGCTGCTCCACCAGCCTCTTGGTCATCATGTCAGCCGGCTGCCCCGTGGTCTTCACGTAGCGCAACTCAACTTCACCCGCGGTTACCATGCTCCTCGTCCAATGCCACTTCACCCTCATGTGCTTCGTGAGTCCATGCAACACAGGGTTCTTAGCAAGAGCAATGGCACCCTGGCTGTCACAGTACAGTGGGGTAGGTCCTTGCTGCTCCTCCCCCAATTCAGCCAACAAACGCCGCTGCCACACAATCTCCCGTACGGCACGGAAGAGTGCCATGTACTCGGACTCCACCGAGCTCAATGCTTGATCAACCTGCTTCTTGCTCTCCCAAGCAGTTGGGCCTCCACCAACACAGCAAATGAACCCTCCAACACTTGTCATGTCCTCTGGTTCCGATGCATATGAAGCATCCGAGTAGGCGGTGAGGAACAAACGCCCGGGTTCAACACCATCCGCGCCCTTTTGGCGCCTTTGTGCCGCCGCCGAGTATTGCAGCCCAACGGTCGGTGTTTGGCCAAGATACTTGGCCACCCTCATTCCAGCTGCTACCTGCTCCTCATTAGGGCATTGCACAACCCTAGCTAGCTGCCCGGTAGCAAACGCGACGTCCGGCCGGGTGTTTACCGCCGCATACATGAGGCTGCCCACCAACGAGTGAAAACGGCGCCTCTCCTCTTCTCCAACGCTCTCCTCCTCTGGCCCCTTCACACACTTGAACCCAGAGGGAAAGGGAGTAGCCACATGACCTTCACTCTGGCCGAAGTTGGCGGCCAACGCCTCAAGGTACTTCCGTTGGTGCACTCGCATGCTCCGCTTCTTCACGTCTCGTTCGATGTGGAGCCCAAGGTAGAAGTTGACGTCACCAAGAGACTTGCACTTGAACTTGTCTTGCAGCTTCAGCATCACCTCCTTCACAAGGTCAGAAGAGGGTGAGAAAATGAGGATGTCATCCACATAAACCACCATGAAACTCCTCTGCTCCCCCTCGCCAAGCATGAACAAGGAGTGATCGGCCGTTGAGGGAGTGAAGCCGATCCCCTCCAACACTTCGCGCAGCTTCATGTACCATTGCCTAGGGGCCTGCTTCAGCCCATAGAGGGCCTTCTTCAGCTTCCACACTCTGCCACTACCATCATCAAACCCCTCTGGCTGCGCCATAAAAATCTCCTCCTCAAGGATGCCGTTAAGGAATGCCGTTACGATGTCCATTTGCTTTACTACCCATCCTTTGATGGCGGCTCCCGCGAATAGGGTTCGCAGCGTCGTCGGCTTCACCACAGGGGCAAACAGCTCCTTGAAGTCCACCTTCTCCTTCTGCTGGTACCCCTTGGCTACAAGCCTAGACTTGTAGCGCTCAATCTTGCCGTCGGCATCCGACTTGATTTTGAAGAGCCACTTGGACGTTATCGCCGTACGCCCCTCCGGTAGCTCCACCAATTCAAACGTGTCATTCTCCTCGATGCTCTTCAGCTCACTCTCCATGGCCTTCTTCCACTCCTCAGCATCACTACTCTCCAAAGCCTCCTTGAGAGTTGCTGGTTCTCCCGGCATCTCCACCGGAGAGAAGAACGCGAAGGCGCACTCCTCGTAGTCAGTCTCCTCGTCGTCTCCGACCATCTTTGCCGCTCCGGCCAGGGCTGTCTTGCCCTGCTTTCCTGGCGCATCATAGGTCAGCCTATTAGGGGGTTGAACTCTCCTCTTCCCCTTTCCTTCCTCCTCAGCTGCAGGGACTTGAAGGCCTTGGCGTTGCTGCGGTGTGGCTCGAATCCGTGGAGCACTCGTAGTACGGGAAGGGAGTGACGGTGCACGCTCGCTCACTTGCTGCACCTCCTCCTCTTCTTCCTCTGCATCATTGGCCTCCTCTCCCCCATTCACAAGGGAGGATTGCCTTGTGGTTGTGCTGCCGCTGCTCAGCTCCAAAGGCAGCTCCACATGCTCCAAACCGGAACTCTTCACCTCCCCAAACCGCACGCCTATCTTCGCCTCATTCTCCGCCTTCCAATCCTTGTACATGAAGTTCTCCATGAACTTGCAGTCCCTGCTCACCAAGAACTTCTTGGTGAATGGGTCCCAAAGAAGCCATCCCTTGCTGTTTTGAGCCATGCCCAAGTGCACGGCCCACACCGCCTTGGCACCAAGCTTGTTGTGCCGAAGATGCTTAGGCACGAGCGCCATGCACATGCACCCGAACACCCGAAGCATATCCACCTTTGGCTTCCTTCCTAGCCACTCCACATAGGGCACCCATTTGTCTGCTCCCACATGAGTCAAGGCTCTGTTCTTGGCCACACACGCGCTCCGCACCGCATCAGGCCAGAAATAGTCGGGTAGCCCGGCTTCAATGAGCAACCCGCGTGCCGCCTCCGTGATT